ATAAAATGCTAATACACCTTGACACTTTAGTCCCAATCAAATTCCTAGATCAGGGAGAAAATTCCTGGGCATCCTACAGCTAAAGAACATTGGTTACATGAGAAACATGTGACTTCCTGTGAGTAACATAAACAAACATTTAACCCCAGATATACTGAGTGTTTTCAACTTGTAATACCCAACAAGCTCTACTGGCCTGGAGGCAGGCAGCAAGATGAACCTAGTGCCCCTAAGGTACTGGTGACAGAGACTGTACTCATGGGTGTCACTGCTCTGGTCAGGTACACCCAAACATGCTGGCATCACTGCTTCAGCCCAGGTCTCGGCCACGGGCACCCTAAGGTACTACCGGCAGCATGGCTCGACTCGCTCCAAGGCTGTTTTAATGACTCCATACAAAGGGCCAGTTTGGGGTACTGGTTAAGTGCGCGGACTCTAATCTGGGAGAACCGGGTTTGATTCCCCACTCCTCCACTTGCACCTGGCTGGATGACCTTGGGCAAGCCATAGCTCTGACAAGAGCTGTCCTTGAAAAAAGAGCAGTTTCTGTCAAGAGTTCTCTCAGCCTCACCCACCCTTCTTCTTCTCCATCAGCCCCTGTCCAAATGCAGCCCCCTTTCCTATGGGTGCAACTTCTGATGCGGAACTTAAAAAAGTGTTTGCTTTTGGTTCTTCGGATGCTCCTGCTTTCCCCCGGATCCGGTTTCTCTGAAGGCCAGAGCACAGCAGCTGACTTGCCCATTACCCCAAGACTAACCCTCCAAAGGATATTCTGCATCTCCACCTGCTTATTTCTCGTCGACCTCCCACCCTTCCCCAAGGAACCAAACATGAACACATGAAGCTGCCTTCTGCTAAATCAGACCCTTGGTCCACCAAGGTCAATATTGCCTACTCTGGCTGGCAACAGCTCTCCGGGTTCTTTTACATCTACGACTTGATTCTTTTAATTGGAGATGCTAGAGCTTGAACCTGGGACCTTCTGCATGCCAAGCAGAGGCTCTATTATTGTCATCTTCAGGGGTCATTTCCTGCAGGAGCGCATAGGAGTGGAGCTCCGGCAGTAAAGAGCCCAGGGGGCGGGCACATTTAACAAGCCCCGCCCCCTGCTCCCAACAGCCCTCAGTCAGAGCAAGAAGCAGCCAGGTAAGTTGCAGAGCTCCCCCTGCCCCCCCCCCCGGTCCAAAACAGTCCAGT